TGTGATTCCGATTTAGTCTTCGATATGATTGAAATAACAAATTTAAAGATCATTATGAATTTAAAGAAAAATTACATCGTAGAAGAGAGATTACTTTTAAAAATATATTTAAAATTCAGCAATTAGTCGATAAAATAGTCTCAAATAGCTGATAAAATAGCTAATTTTTTGTTAAGCCTGAGAGACTCGGGCCTAGGGCCACCGCATTTCTGGGTGATTAGTGACTGACTAAATGTTAAAAATAATTTCCTTTTGTGTCGTTTCTAAAGAATTACCAATTAGAATTATGAATTAACAGAAATTGAATTAAGTTTAAGTTCAAATTTACTAACATATAATTTTTTACTTACATGTTAAAAATAATTTCAAAGCACTTCGTAATTAAACGACATGCAAATTTGGTTTTAAGCTTACGACGGGGGGGGGGAAGCAGTTCTGTGCCTATAGCCTACTTCTACATCAGGTCATGGCTACGAAATATTAATAGTATGTAAAAGTTTAGAGCTTGTTTTTTTCTTTCTTTTATAATTCCCGTCAGTAAGAAATCCCAGTGAGCTTTATTAAAAATTATCCAGATGTACGGAAGAAAAAAATTCTAGTGAAATTATCATACTGTATCGTAAAGACATTTTTTGTAAAAAAAAAAAAAAAAAAAAAAAAATATTGATTCTGATAATAAAAACCAAAACATGAGTTATTTAAACATTACATTAGGTATTTTTCCGTTCATAAGGTAGCGGTTTACTGGAAATCCTGGTTTTTAGAATTTTAGTTCGTATTACCACACATGTAGTAAAAATTGCTAAATTGAAAAGTAAATTTAACCGCATAAATGATTTTTATGACATGCTCGAAGGTATCGTGATAAAATTACCAAATTTTAACACATATTATAAATAATATTTCATTGTTGATTTTACCAAAATCATTACCAAAGAGCTTCGGTAAAAATAACCATGCCTTTTCTTGTTCACATAGAGTCAAAAACATTGTAAATTTAACCATATTCTGGTAATTTCGACCATACATTTTTTCTGAGTGGGGCTACAAATTAACTTTGAATTCTGTTCGTTGATTCGAGGACAAGTTCGATACTTCAGTGGCTCTGAAAATGTTAAAAAATATTAACAAATATTTGAAATTTTCTATAACAAAAAGTTGATAAATCACGAAAAAGGTGAAGTCAAATTTACGATTAAGATGATTATGTGAAGAGGATAATATTTTTGTTTTAATTAGCATTCTAATTTCGCAATTATTTTTCTTTTTTTTTCTTTATACATTTAAAATTTTAATCATGATTCTGCTTAGTGCCTATATTATTCCATGAAACTGATTAGAAACGACGACAATTTCTGCCCAACTTTTTCAAAGTAGTTCAAATTTCCTAAAAAACGTAGAACATGTGACATGGAGATAAATAACGTGGTAAAAGCTATTTATCAAAATTTACAAAATGTCTATAAATGATTTCCAAAATATTGTCTCCAACAAAATGATAGTGTCAATATCTGGGTCCAAAAATTTCGCAAATACTTAAATGAATAATCCCAAGGAACTGAAGCCAAAAGAAATACTTAATTAAATTGTAATAAAAGTTGACATGTTTCGAGCGTTCAAAAATGGACGCCCATTCTCAAGATTGCGTGAATACTTATTTGAAAATTATTTTCGTAATAGAATTATTTGGCGTGATTTAAGTGATTTGGTAAAAGGCTTAATTAGGGTTATTATAAAATAAAATTCTTACTTTTTAATTCAATTTTTAATGAATTAAATCTTGACTAAAGTTAGAAAACATTATAAAATAAGTATTTGTTTTGCATATTAGTTTACAAATGTAAATGATATTAATTAATCCAAGCATATCAAGACCCAATTTAGAAATTCTTAAGTATAGATATAAATATGGCGTGACCTCTACGGAACGTTATCATGAATCGAATCTTAAATCCTGTTATTATCTTGTTAGGGTAGAAAATACTTTTGAATGAATTTCACAATAAGATTTTTGATATATTAAGGGAGCAAAGGCTTAGATGAATTTTAAATTTTTAATTTCTTTTGATATATTGTTATTATTTTGAGTGTTTCGTAATTACTCTAAATGACTCGATACTTTTTAATTAAAATTTGCTAAAATAAATTTGTGTGCAGTCGAAAATATAAGAAGCAAAGCACATTAAGAAAGAACAAGATCAAAGCTTTTAGATAATGAATCATTTGTGTCAATATAAATTTTGTATTTACTTTAGATATAGGTAAAAGCTCAGAGTTTCATACCTTTTTGGAGAAAATTACTGTAAACTAACATGTTTTTGTGTGTCAATAAAATTTTTTTTTGAATAAACAAACTTAATTTATATATTTATCTAGAAATATTCCCAATTAAGTGGTACATTTTTGAAGAAAGTAATATTTTAAAAATAGTTTTTCTTAAGAAAAGACCAATGGTCAAAAAATATTCAATTTACTTTAGTAAGTATTCTTTTGTTAGATAAAAATGCTCATATTTTAAAACATTTTGATCATTTTTATGCTAACAATTTTGTCTCATAAAATATTTCTTGTTGGCTTTAATTAAAAACAAATATAGTTACCATTGACGTAAAGTATAGCAGTGTTAAGATAATTTTGTTTACCTAATTTAGAAAGAATTTAGTGAGTTTCCTGAAGTAATATAATCTATTGATATTATTTCGTATATATCTTTTTTTCGATTTTTTTAAATAATTTTTTGTGCTCCTTTTTGTTGTGGTTATTTTTCTAGACAAAATTTAAAGCCTACAGTTAATATTAAATTATAATATTATTATATTTAATAAAGAGCTAAATACACTGATATTTTTATTTTACTTACAGTGCAATTTTTTAGAATAAAACCCAGTATATAAACAGGGCTAACAAGATTTCAATTCTTTTTTCATTTATTTATTATTATTAAAATTTTATTACAATATATCATGTGTTCAGTCAAACTAATTAAACTTAGCTTCAAACTAATTAGACTTTTTTTAATTTAAATTATTAAACAAGTTCTCATGTTTCACGGAGTACAACACGAGGCTTACAGATGTAAGTGGGCAAAGAACAATTGTAATTAAAAAAGAAACGGTACAAAATCAAAAGTTTAAATTAAGAACAAAATTGCTTTAAATTTTTAGATTTGCAGTTCATTAGACTTTGTGACTAATTAGATTTCGTGAAACATTTTTTCTTCTTTATGCACTATCTTTCATTATGATTGAATACATATTATTCTATTATCTTCTACAAATGTTACTTGTAGAGTTTAAAAAAGTTAGTAGATGGCAGCACTGATGAAAAATTTAAAAGAGTTCTTTATATATTTTCATAAATTTTTGCCCTTTTCTTCCAAGTCTTACTGTAATATTTTTGTGCTGCTATCTGTCGTAAAAATTTTCAACGACAAGTATTATTGCTCAAAAATAGTAAAAACTCTATTGGGCACAGAAAAATTCAGGTGAACCCAAACCATCCAAAATATAGGTCTTGTTATGATGAAATTAAATTAAGGTTTAAGGTATATTTATTTTCTCAAAACAATGTGGTCTCTGTCACCTGACCTTTCTTTGCTATAATTTACCTTCTCATAATTATATTCATAATATATATTATGAATTATATTATATTTATAATATAATTCATAATTTTTTAATTCTTCATTTACATGATGGACATGTAATGAAGACTTTTCTGCAAAAAAGTGGCTTAGTTCAGTTAATAATTACTTGTAAAAACATTTCTTTTTAAAATTTTCGGTAACATTCAGCCCAGCGATAGGATATCATGGTCTATTTTTAATCATTTTATGAATAATATTTTAATTATTATTTTTTCAATTTTTTAATAATTATTTCAATTCTTTAAATTACATCTTATAATTTCAATTATTGTGCTATAGCATTTAATAGTCATTTTTACTTTATTCCGAAAATCAATGAAAAAAATAATAATAATGAAATGGAAATAAAGTTATTTATTAAAATTATAATCATTTTTAATAAAAATGTTCACGAAAATTATTTTAAAAATTCTGTTTAATGGATGCTTCATGTGTTCCACTTCAAATATTTAATTTATTTATTTATTTATTTATAAACGAGATTCAAATTTAGGAGAAAATATAAATACAGAAAAAGGATTTCAAAAATTACATTGATCTAAACAGCATACAATAGCTTGAAATCCAGATTTTTGTAATCATCTAATCCTGACTACTTTTAATAGTAAATTATGATTGCTTTTAGGCAATATTGCACAGAATCATGATTATTATGATCAAAACTATAAAGATATGTAATCATGATTATAATTATCATTGTGAATCATGCTTGCACATAATTATGATTTCAAGTTCTTGATTATTTGTAAACTTTACTCGTAATCAATAATATTTATAACCAATTGAAATATAATGTCTGTCCCCAACTCTTTTATATAAGTCTGATAATAAACATAGACATTATATTTAAAACAATTATCCATTTTTTAGGCATTATATTAAATTACAAGGTTCTTAGATAGATTTTGAGAAATATCTATCTGTTCGTTGAATATGAAATTGTTTCAATTATAATCATTCATTCTTAAGATCAAACATTATCACTCAAATTATTTGTACAAATATTCATATTTGTATCAGTGAAACCGTCAAGTTGACCACCTATCTTTGACCTCTATTGTCAAGAACTGAATTTACTTCATTTCATAAGAGATTCTGTAACCTGACCATCAGTCAATATTGTATGTAGACCATTGAAATAAATCAAATTCGTGTAATGATGTTACTAAATGCAATCCTAAATCCTTTATAAGTTGATCGGAAAAAAAATCCTTTTCAGAAATCTTTTTATGCAATATCAGAATGTTATATATCGGATTTTACTCAATATATACTAAATATATACATACTATATATATCCTTCATTTGCTGAATTTGGAAATTTAAAATTTGATAAAAATGAAAAAAAAAAACGGATTTTTTTTATTTTTTTTGAAATACAGAAACATACAAAGATGAGATATGCAAGGCAGATATGTAGATACACTCATAAATATGTTTAGTCCAAGAGGCAGCGTCACCAAAAAGTCGGTAGTTTTAACATTTTGTGTATGTTTTTGGGTAATTAGAATATCCGGTTCTCCAAAATGCTTACGTCTCTTTACAATGCACTACACTGACTGCCACCAGCCTAACAAAAGACTTCGACAGTTATCAAATAGCCTACAACATATATGCCAATCAGTAAGGTATAATGACTTGCATTTTGTGACGTCGCCTCTCGGGCTATTGGTATTGAGTACAATGAAAACAAACATTTATGCTTATTCTCATTTATAACCATATAAATATCACAGATAAAAGTCTTTGCATACCTATAATTATTTGATATACATTACTTATTATTGTTACTTGGAAGAAATATTACAAATACTGATCGTTTTTCATTTTTGAGAAAGGAGCATAGACCTAGGAAGTGTTGATAACAGCCTGGCTCTTAGGAAGTGAACAGAAATTATCCCATTTCCCTCCGGCTTATAAATACGAAAGACACAGTAAAAGAGAAGAAAAAAAAATTCATATCTCCATAGTGTAAGTTGAAAGTTAGGTTTTTGGCAAAAGAGAAGGTAAACACTTCAGAAATTTTCTAATTACAGACTAAAATATTCTCCCAAGGCCCTTTGCTTTAAGTCGACTCAAAAATTTTTCTGAAAGCCTTGAAAAGTCGATAATCTGTGTCAGTTAGTTCAAATCAAGACGGCTTTGATGTTTTCTTTCGGATTGCTAGTACTTGCTGCTGATCTTTACGTAAGATTCTCAGGATATTTAAAATTCTTTGTGCTAGGTAAAGACTCATACTCTCGGGAAGGTGTTCCCGCTCATATCGAATCTCCAATGAAACTTAAATAATTAGGTGCTTACTCCACTGAGACATATGACTTTTGCAAATTGTTTATTATAACGCTCATATCAGAGGACCAACTGCCTAATGAATAAACAACCCCTGATATATGAACACTTTCTAGATCTATATTCCTGTGGAAAATTTAATCAAACCAGTTTTGTTCATATTTAATTCACTATGGTACAGATATTCATTTGCTACAAAGATGAAAATATATGCATTGCAAAGTTTGAAACTTGTTTGACTGAGAATTTTTAATTAAAGCGATTCTTTCAAAAGACGTAATATGAATTAAAAACAGTTTTAAAGTTAGCAATGATTTAAGGGTGGATTGAGTAAGCTTTGTCTTAAATATTGTTGAAAAAATTTAAGTCATAAAGGTTGAGACTAAGAGAATAGGGGGCATTGACGACCAATATACGTTCAAAAAAGCTATGTTTTGACATTTTCACCAAAAAATGAACAATATCAAAATAAATAAAAATAAAATTGAAATAAAAAAAAAAGAAATGAAATCCTAATGAGAATCCCTGAATTTAACCACTAAGTTTTATCTGAATCTCACCAAGCAATCAAAAGTTTATCAAGACATTTTTCTCTTGTGTGTCAAATATTGTTACTCATCATATTAAACTAATTTAATTTTTTTAAAGTTAAAATTTGAACTGTAAATATTCATGTTATAAATATTCCATCTTAATTTACAATAGTGACTTTTAGTTATTAAAAAACCAAATTCAAAAATCACTTCTAAATGCACTAGTAATACAAAATATGATCCAAAGATACAGTACAAAAATACAAAACATAGTACAACAAATTCAAAACGCAACATAACAAATATAATATGCAACAATTTACAAAATCGAGTACATCAAGTAACATCACATAATACAAAGTTCACATCAATAGCATATACAATGTTTAGTAATATCAACTTTAAATCATATTATATACGTTACTATCAGTTTGTAATGTCTTGTGATCTAAAGTAAAGGTACCCAAAAGATGTTCCACGGGGTTTGAAGAGTTAGGATTTTTTTACAGATACGAATTTTTAAACTTGTAAATACATTTTTATATCTAAAAGTAGTTGTACTTTATTTACGTCGCACTGAATCGAATGCATAATGGACAATTGATGTCATCCCTGAGGATGATCCAAAGACACGCCATCACAATTTTTATACTCTGCGGAGGGAATGGCTCCCCCTCCCTCTTAGTACCCTGATGATCTGCGCACAAATTCGACCACATTACGGTAGAACGGTTAAACGAGGAGCTGATCAAAGTGAGTGGGTGACCCCTTCGACCAGGCTGATCAAAGTGGTTACCCACTCGCTCACTAACCGCAGCCAATAATACTTGACTTCGGGGATCTACTGCAATCTATTTTAGGACATGTGCGCAATGAATAAGTTATGAAAAGCAAGCACATTTATAAAAAATTGTATTCCTATCCAAGTTTTCCAATTCAAAACTAAATAACTAAATTAAACAATATCGAAAAATGTTTTCCTTTATAGCCATTCTCAATTTTTGTAACAGTTTAAATGTTACAGTTAAAGTATGATATGCTGCTTTCAGCTTATGCATACGTTAAGAACAATTTCAGAACTAGACTAGATGCCTCTCCAGCCCTGTGAAATCAACTGCCTGACATTAAAACCTAATTAATTAATATAGAGACTGCCATTGATAGAACGACGCTAAAAAATTAATTTTTTACATTAAATATTTTCAAAATAATTCTTTGTTTTTCCTTGATTAAAATGTTCACAAATGCTACTGAGCTTTATTTATAAAGTCGGGTTTCTACCAAAAAATGATCGATCATTTAGAGTTCCATTTCGGAAAAAAATTGGAAAACGCTGATCTAAAGGCTTGATGTCGGTTATCATCTTATAACCATGATACATTATGTCGTTTTGATCACGGAAACATACCTTTTATTTATGGATTTATAAGTAAGAATATGATTCTCGTAATGGTTTAAGGAGGAAAGAAGTTGAAAGTTCTTTCCTGAAAGTTTTTGAAAAGTTCTTTACTTTAAGTGTCTTATAAGTCCATTTTTTTTCTTTTTGTTTTTGTGGATGGCCTATTTCCAATTCTGACGCTGATTTCAAATTAATGATTTGACGAACTGCATTTTGATATTTTTTTAAAAAATCATTATTAATGCTTTAGAACAAAAAGTAGCTGTTAGATATTTATCATTGAAATGCATTTATTATTAATTTAATAATTCTATAAAATCTTAGAATTTTGCAAAAAGTAAAACACTTCATATGAAGTTATAAAAAAATAATCGTGCTCATGGAAAATGTCTTTAAAATCATTGCTGAATCATCAATGGCATGAGTACTATTAGTTTGGCAATAAAAGGTTAAGTAAGTTGCTTATAAAATGGTTCATCGTATAAAAATGTTAGAAATTTTTTCATATAAACTCTACAGGAAAACAGCATTTAGCTGATAACAAATACCAAACGAGACAATTAAGAGTAAATAGGTGGTAATTTTTCATGAAGTACCAAATGATCTATACAACTATGTACAATTGGCTCACCTAAGTATATCACATAGTACTATTAGGAACATTTAGGATAAAAAACACGTTATCATAAGATCTAAAAAAAGTAAGTAGAATGTAAATTCTCTTACATTTAATGACAAAATAGGATTTTGGTGAGCATTTATACTACTGATAAATTGTTCGGGCATAATCTGTAAGGATTAAGTTCGTGGGAGTTTTTCTTCTTCTTGCCGTGCTTACGAGTTCCATTATGACGATTATATTCAACAGGTGTGTTAGGAGGACCATATTCTATAAATATCATAGAAGAATTATCCTCCACGAAATTACCAAACACTCCTGATGGCATTAAAGATGTTTGGTGGTTGCCTAATGGTAAAGAAGGCTGAGGTTGCATAGGAATAGCTTCATCTTTAGATATAGCATCTTTCATGCCTTGAGCAGGTCTCTTTCGAGGATTGCAATACATTAAGCAGGAAAATATTCCAACTAATACGACAACAGAGATGGTTAAAACAGTCACAATTATCGTAAAGTCGAATGAAGTCTCGAATCTGACTCCTTCTGCAAAAAGAATTAACTTATGTACTCAAAATAGATAGAAATGCAAAACTTATTAATTTTTCAATTGAGTATATTGTGTAACTCTATTCCACCAACGTACTTCTAAAACTCACTAGCAAAAATCCTCCATCACAGCACCAGGCGCTGTAGATTATTAGAGTTTCTACAAATTATTTTTCATCTTATATTTAAAAAATAAAAATTATCATACCACTCGAAGATTATTTTTCATCTTATATTAAAATAATAAAAATTATCATAGCACTCGAAGATTACTTTTCATCTTATATTAAAATAATAAAAATTATCATAGCACTCGAAGATTATTTTTCATCTTATATTAAAAAAATCAAAATTATCAGAGCACTCGAAGATTATTTTCCATCTTAAATTTTAAAAACCAGCCTAAAGTATTACTGAGAGGAGAAAAAGACAAATCATTTTTATTTCAATAACTATTTATTTTAGGTTCTTAAAATTTGTTTGCTAATCTTTCTGCTAATTTGCTAATCTTATATAAGCAAAATAATAGTGATGACTTCCGAAATTTCCAAATAATGTTTTTTAATTAACTGGAATTTTAAAAAATTTTAAAAGATAAAAAAAATTAATCACAAGAAAAATTTAAAAGTAAATTCTTAATTTCCAAAAACTTTAATCTAATAACTTGTTTCTAGACAGTATAGGAACTTGTTCCATTTTTAACATTTAAATTATTCCATTTATTTAAAAGTGTATAAATTTTTTGAATTTAAAATAAAAAATATATAAAATTTTTGTGCATAGTATTTATTTACCTTATACGTGCTAGTTTTGCTGTACGCATGTTAGATTAAGCTAAATTTTTACAATAATAGTCTCTTTCTGACTATGTTCGGGTCACAGACAAATCTGGTTTTCATGAAGATTCTGCTGTAGATAGACACTGTAAATTCCGCTACCGGGTTCACTAGAAGGTTTTGAAGGTTTTCAGATAAATTTTGAATCATAATGTGATATTTAATCCTCAAAAAAAGTTATAAATTCAGGAGACATTTAAAAAAAAAATAAAAAACTGAAAACATTCTGCATTTTGTTGATATTAATAAGAAAAGGAGTAAACAAAATAAAAATCAAACTTTAAATGACGCAAATGCACATTAAGCAGCTGTGAAGCAGCAATTACGCAGCAAATATTATTAAATTGAGGGCAAAATTCTTACCTCTTAAGTTCCCTATTAGCGAATACCAGACAAATTACGTTCGTTTTATGACTCATTTTTCGCAAATAAAAACTTGAATGAGTTTTTTCTTGAAAATGTAACTAATGAACATAAAGACTATAAAAATAATTCTGATACGTGCTGAAGTTACTGAAAAATGATAAATCTTACTACTAATTATAAATGGTACTGAAAAATGATAAATTTTACTACTAATTGTAAATGGTACACTTAAGTCTGAAAACTGTTAAGAGTGTATCTTTCCGATAATCCACTCGCTAATGGTTACTTAGAAAATGACAAAAATGTGTAATCTTACAGAACAATTTTTACAAATGAATTTGCTTTTGAATCCAAATCTGAACTTTGAAAAGGCCTTCATCTATCATTACATACTTCAACAATAACATTAAAAATTATTTCATATAATAAGGAAAAAAGCTCGAAGTGTTAAAATAAAATGGGACTTATACCAGATTAACTATAAAGTTGTCTTTACAGAATGATCTAAAAATTTTAAGTTATTTTATTTTCATAATTTTCCTAAAAGTATTATGGGTAACACATGAAAAAATTCATGGGTTTATTTGAAAGTATTTATACGTAGCCTAATTTTTGGATGAACAGCCTAGTAAATCAAACATTCTACTATGCTGTGCAAATCAATTTGGACAAGAGTTTTTTTTAAAAATTCATTCTTGACCAAAGCATGTTGAACAAACTGTAAAACGCTGAAGCAAATATTTTGGGTCTTTTTCTTAAGCAAATGGCATTGTAAGCTTAGTCCCCGTTATGAAGCATTCAAGAAAATACATATAAAAATTATGACGTAGGATTATTCAATACAATCAAATGTTAGTTCAGGCATTTTAGCATGAGTTAGCCCCTTTTCACAATTCAAAAATAGTCAGGAGATTCACACTAGAGAATCAAAGTTATACTGCTTGATTTGCATGTATATTCATATGATTTTAAGCCTATTGTGAGCTTGAAAATTATTTTGAAGAATATTTTAAGTATGGTGGAATGTACGAAAGGAAAACGTATAATTAATAATGCTGTAAACAATTTCTAGTTCCAAAATGATGAAATTAAGCTATGAACTAATCTATAGAGTCAATGCTAAAATGTCTTCAAGAGTTTATTGCTACAGAGGAAGACACATTACAAGTATGTATGCGCGAGTATATAAAGGCATAGAATAATTAAAAGTATATTTTTTTAAGGAGAGTTTTTTTTCTTTGTCGCAACTAATTTGTACAATACAATATAAAAACAATAAAATTACTCACTTCGCTTTACTTCCAGGAAAGCAAACCGGTATTCATATCCTCGTGTATTAGCCCCTAAACAAACATATTTACCAGCATCACGCAATTGAGCATTCTCAATGAGGAGCCTATGATAGTGCATATTACCGTCTCTAATTGTTTCCACTTGGTGTTCATTGTCAACAACATTGAAGAATTCTCCTTGCATCATAATAGGAGATTCCTCAGTTTCTTCATCAGGGTTTTCTTTGTCAACTTGCTTTAACCACTATAAAAGGAGAAACACCGTCTGAACACTTCTCAAAATGCCAATCATCGCAGGCATGTATTTATTATTTTTGGGAAGATTTTCTTACGAAGAAAAAAAATAAGACTGGGATTTATGAATATTCGAAGCACTGTAATTTATGAATTGTCGTCATTTACATAGTCGCTTTGGAGAAACACATTGTTTAGAAGTCCATCGTTGGACATAGTCGCCAGGAATACTTGTTAGATATCATTCTTTCTCACTATACACTAATGTCAATATTCATCTTACACAGATGATTCATAATACCTTTTACCGATTTAGAGCTGAAAATCACTCGATCCCAACGTCACGTTGCGGGCCTTAAAGTCTATCCACCCTGTCCTAAGTGCAATGTGAACCAGTCTGCTCCTGCCCACATCCTATCGTGGATTGACTGCCAGAAGAGCCACCTGGTCTCCAACCCTGCTGCAATAGTACATAGCTTTGGGAGCTTTTCGTATGAGTTCATGGACTTGATTTAATGCTTCTGTTGGTCAAGTGGGCATAAGCAACAACAGAGCTGAAAATGAACTAAAAGTGTTCCCTCTTCTATATAGATTATGACTATGCAGATTCTCCCCTTTAATGTAAATAACTAGATCAAATCCGTTCATAATGCTTTCGGTCTGTATTACGAGTAGAGATATGTCCGATCGGTGTGCTTTTGCACTAGGTTATGTGACCGGACCAGGTTTGCTCGTGATGCTGTATAGATTAACCACTGAGCCGTGATGACTCAGTGATTAAAAGCACTAAGTTGTCATTGAGAAGAAATAGGGTTCGATAGTTAGCGGTGGCTCGAAGCCCACCCAGCTTCTGATCGATATGCCAAGGATGTAAAAGTGGCATTGTGCATTATGCTAACCCCAGACCACATAACCCCATTCTATGCCTAATTCCATCTCTAGAACCCAAGTAGGCCTTGACCACTATCATGCTGTTGGTCACGAAATAATGGAGCCTTAACATCCATAACCTCCCCTCGCCTACAACAGGTATTGTGGGATTGTTTTTTTTTACAAATGACAGTGTTGTAAGTAAGAAATAATGAAATAAATTTCTTTTCATTCAACATTCACCATCAACCCAGCCCCTATGCACGTTGAATATTGACATTTTTTTCCAATTAAAATGCTGAACAATGATTTCTTTATTGTATGTAAATATTTTAGGCATTCCAAAGCGACAAAGTGAACAGCGACTTTTTCAAAGCATTTCAAGGCTATTTTTCTTAAATAACGTAAATAAATGATAACTATTTCTCTTAGTTATATGAAAACTCATAAACTTACTCTGCATATGTTCTTAAGAAATTATTTGGAGCTTCGATCATAGTAAAAAACTTCTAAAATAAATGCAATACAGCACATTAGGCTACAGTTTTTAACTCATTCTAGAGCTGAAAATCTCTTTAGATTTTGCCACATTATGTTAGAAAGAATGAGTATTACATATACTTACTACTTTCAAATGCTTAGTTATTTTGTAATAGATAGTTTAAATATGTACCATTTTGAAATTAAAAAATAAAATTCTAAAGAGTAAAATTCCGAAAATAGGCTTTTTTATTATGTAATATCTTTAATATGAATTTAAATTTTTATTTTCTAAACATTAAATTTTATCGGTTTATTTGTAAGTGTGTTTAAGGTAAAGCTCAAATACTTATGGAAATTTCTCTTACGGCTAAAAAAAAAAAAAAATAAATAAATAAAATAAAATATTAGTGTTTGTTAATATGAAGTTATTCTGAAGAAAAGTATCCGTGAAATTGTTTCACAATCAGTTACTTGCGATTTTATTCTTCTAATGTAACATCATTATTAAATTGATATATTCATTTAATCAGCCTTCAATTAAATCAGTTTCAAATTTTAAAAAAAACTATATAATAACGCACTTTTCAATCATCAGATATTATAATGCATCGTACTCAATAATTAATGATTTGATATTTTTTTATTACATTCGTCTAACATAATTATAAATCTAGTAAAGTTTTTTTAATGTTTAAATCAATTACAATAAATACTTTTCTTTTATTAAACATATGACGGTTTAGTTCAAAAATTCTTATGATTACATTTTCTCCTGTAATGTCATGATATCTATTTAACATATGCGTTGTGTATATCTTACACACGCATAAGAGTTATGGCGTGAAAAATGTCTGACACAAAAAAACTTACCTCAATATGTAAAAGTGGAAAGCTTTCAACGGAACACTCCATAACAGCTTTTTCTCCTTCTTCAACAATGGTTATGTTACCTCCAGAAAGTATTGGTTTTAGTTGTAATGCACTTCCAAAGGCTGAAAGTTTTCATTTTTAATTGTAATTTCAATTAAAAAGTAATGGCCTACTTAATTCTTGAAAAAGGCAAAAACTTATCACAAAAACTTTTTATGGTAACTTTTAAGGCAACTTTATGCATTAATATTCCAGTTCTTTATGCATTAATATTCTTTTAGCATTAATATTCTAGTTTTACTAGAAAAAAAATCTAGTAAAATTACCGTATTGCATCTTAAAGACACATCTGGTTGAAAAAGACCAGCATTCTGGTAATAAAACCAAAGATAAATTTAATCGAATAAATGGTTTTTATGGCATGCTTTAGAAATATCATGATAAAATTACCGAATTTTACCACATTTACCAAATTTTGACAAATATTATTAAATAATATTTCATTGCTAATGTCACCAAAATCATTACCAATGCGTTTCGTTAGAAATTAACTTGCTTTTTGGTGTTCCTATAGAGGTAGGAATAAGGCAAATTTTACTATATTCTGGTAAAATTTGCAGTAAATTTAACCATACTTTTTTCCTCAGTGTATGATGCATACAAGTATGTAATGCTAAATAATAATGAAAGCACGTAATGACTTACGCGTGTTTCAATGTTTCTTTTTCTTTCTTTTCTTAAAAAATAAATAATTGAATAAAAATGAAAATACTTTAGAAATTGTGAAAGCCTTTTCATGTGATGTTTTTACAGGTAACTGAACTACTTAATTAATTTATTTGACTTTAACAGGTCGAATATTTTAATTAAAGCTTAAAAGTTTGTTGAAAGTTTCTTTATAAAGCGGAATATAACGATATCAGTTTAATGAAAACAAAGAATTTCATTGTTAGGTATTACTTAACTTCATCGAATGCATCCATAAACAAGCTGAATTAAATCAAAATTACAGTTTAGACATATGTAACAAAGTTTTGGATTTTATTTTGTCGATAAAAATAGGTAAATAAATAAATTAAAACAAATGAAAAATACCAGCATGAATTATTTTTAAAGAAAAAAATTAGTTTTGCAAAACTTTTTGGTCAAAATCAGCTAACCCAAATTTTCTAATTTGAGTGCAATATTTTAAAACTAAATCATAATGAAACTAAAACAGTTTATTTTCAAGAATATTTTATATACGAAAATATCGAATACTTACGATTCCTATTCTTGCTTAAAATTTGACTTTTATGAAAAGTAAAACTAATTTATAATTTTTACCATACCTTTAGATAAATATTCTCTCGCTCAGTTAGAATATTCCCATCGAAAGAGGAAAGTATATTAATTTTGACTCACAATAAAAAAAATAAGAAAAATCTGATATTTTGAATTCATCGAACGGCATAAGTTACATAAAATCAGTGAAAAACTAATTTATATTCGAAATAATGCTTTAAACCATTTACAACTCATCAAGTTTCAGTTCAAAATTAAAATTCTAATCTGAAAACGGCTGGCCAATACACTACTACTTATATTGAATAATTTTTGACCCTTCACTGCTCCTGTCTTACGATGTCAAATGATAGTTTTTCGGAGCTCCCTTTCTTTCCTCAAATTATAAGAGGCAGCGTCCAAAATTAAGTTTGCCTTGTAGTTTTTTTCTCCAGGAAATTGAACAGCTATGGGGTAAATAAGACAGCGGTTGGACGTGAAAGACACGTATTTCATTAGGTATCGTTCGACCATGATCAAGCAGATTGTAAAAGACACCAATATATCATTAGGTATCGTTCAACCATGATCAAGCAAATGACAATCTCGCAGTGCCAGCGCAAAGCAGAGGAGAGACTAGGCCCGGAGTTTAGTTGCGGGACCTTTTGGAGGTTGGGAGTATCAATGCTACGTGGTACTATTACACCCCGTCAAAATTGAAGGAGCCTATTTAGACAAAGCCGCCTGGGCTTCATCTGGCGTTCTGTTGCTAAGATGATAATTCGACACTCTGGTATGGGAACGCAAAACCATATTGCAACGTTTGGTTGGGAGAACTTTGGTCCTCCGCCATCAGTCCTGATTTCGCACCCCAGTTTTTCTCGCTTGGAAGAGGAATCTCGACTGAAGCGCTTGCTTTGGAGCAATGCAAAATCACTTCAACCTATCAACCCTTCTTCTGTATGCAGAGCCCTGATTTTTTCCTTGAAGGCTTTTTGAACCTTATAAAGTCATATGACAAATGTCACAACGAGCTTAGAAATTATGAGGAAAAATAAAGTTACATACTATATGTTCTACATCAAAGTAAATAATACAAACTTACGGTCTATAATAAGAAAAAAGGAGTGACTGTCCTTTCCAAGAATATTTTTTGCTACACATGTGTAATTGCCACTGTCTGTAAGAATTGCTTCCGTAAAAGGTAATGCCCATTTTCCTGTTTTGGCACTGTTAATTTTTATTCCATCTTTGTACCATATCATTTCAGGTGCTGGCAATCCTGTTGCAACACACTGTAACTTGAATGTTTCTCCAACTTTCTTAATAATAGGCGAAACTTTATCAGAGACACGTAAAATTCGTGGTTTATCTGAAAAAGATTATTATTGCTTTATAGGTTAGGTTAGGGAAAGTTATTGAAATAAAGAGTTCATTTTATTTAAAGCAAAACATTTAAATACTTTCTTTGTATGTTTAAGTTAAGATAGGAATTAATGTTGGAAAGGGTATTCACAAATTTCTGTACGGATTTTGCAAAGCGTTACGGTTTCTAATGTTCTTCGAGTTGACAATCGCGTCCGCGAAACTTTTCTTACAACTCACAGTATCGCTAAGGAGTAGAAAATAAGATTCGTGTTAAATGAACGCTATGTAAAATCTCTCTAATAACACATTAATACAATATTAGAAAGCACTTTATTTTGTGGATATAACCGTGCGTGTTGACGACGAGATTATATATTTTCGTCATTTTGTTTTCTGGCTTCTTAATTTTTGAAAAAATTTTTGAAAAATTTTTTTAAAGAATTTTTAAAACTTTTTTAGATATTTTTAATAGTTTTTTGTGTGCTAATTTTATTTTTTTGTCCTTTTTATTTATTTCCTTGTTTTCCTTGTATTCTTATTATATATATACACACACACAAAACTTATTACAAAAATGCAATATGCTGTAAATTAAATAAAATCAAAAAATGATTGAATTGATTAAATAAAATCAAAAAATGGTAAAATCAAAAAAAAACTCTGAACTTACAGGTTAAACTAATCTTTGAATCACCCTCTGGTAATATCTCTTGGCTGTAACCGTAGTCATAATCGTGATAGTCTTTTTCATACCCTTCAGAACCTTAAATACATGAAAAAATCTTACAGACAAGTAATATGAGAATTATAACCTGACAGAAAATAATTTTAGCGATCTTCACTATGTCATAAGCAAATGATTACAGTTTCTGGTCGGTGGTACTAATCAGCTTCTTAACGATCATCACAAAATCAATTCTTATTTTTCTAATTAGATTAGATATCCTGACCATTTTAAAGGACTTTTTTTAAGCCCAGGCAACAGGACCTAAGAGAATTTTTAAAAAAACATGAAAATGAGGAGACATGTCATTTATTTGTGCTAATAATGTCTCCAATGAAACTCTGATTCCAAAAATTGAAGTAATTAGTAAAGACTACTGCATTTTAAATAACGATGAGAGCATTACATTTAGGAAACTACAAAAATTACTCTGCCTGAAAATAATCGTCTTATATTATATTCAGCAAAATTTAATTTTTTAACTGAAATTTTATTTGAACAACTTTTTCAGTTCAATTTTTCTTATTATTAAGTGAAGTGTTTAATAGAACATTTTAGAAATTAAAAATAATTTAAGCCACGTAGCTCAGTTTTTAAACCACTTAATTTGGATTTTATACTGATATCTAATGACTTATGTCATATCAATTACTTTTTTGAATGGGTACTTTATAATATTTTCAGTAACTATACCCTTTAAACAAACTTATCCTTTTTAAAAAAATTGTGAATTATTAAATTTTCACAAATCTTACATGTATTGAAATTGCTGGTTTTTATTTAAAAAAATTAAAGATTAACCTCTCATAAATTTATGTTGCATATAAATTCATGAATTAGAGATCATAAAAATTTGTGTTGCATTATGTTACTAAATAATTTTAAATGTTTAAAGGCTACTAACATGGCATTTTGAGTTTTGCCCTATTACAGGTATTATTAATTAGAAAGAGGGGGAAAGACTCCAACATAATTAATCTTATGTATTTTTAATCTTATGTAATTAATCTTATTAATTTTAAACAGATCCCCACATGTATTTATTAGTTTTAATTAACAGTAAGTTTTTACATATAATTGTAAAAAAAATATTGCTTTTACCAATCATAAGAAGTGTTGTGTTAAATTCTGCACTGCAGTATCTATTTATGGCTCTACAACGGCACTCACCAGTAAGTAACATCTCTAATTTTGAGTGTTCCATTGTTTAATATTTTAAATTTGTTTTATTTAACAATTCCAAGTTTTGTTATATTAAGGGTCTTATTATCTTATGAATTAGAGAATGAATCCATCATAATCTATCTTATATACATAATTGTCATACAGATCCACACATACATTTTTTAACTTTAATTAGCAGCCTATTCTTAAATATAATTTTAATTAAAGTATTGCTTTTACCAATCACAAGTAGTGTTGTGTTAAATTCCACGCTGCCGTATCCATTTATAGCTCTACAACGGTATACGCCAGTATCACTGTAAGTAACATCTTTAATTTTGAGTACTCCGTTGCTTAATATTTTGAATCTTTCGTCAGGGAATTCTATCATTTGAGATTTTTCTTTATACCACTCGAACATATTTTTTCGATTCCGTCGAACAGGACAATCCATATTAACAGTTTCATGAGGGCTTACAACCATCTCACGAGAAGTTTCGTTTGTTTGCAACATAGGTGGATCTAGAAATAAAAATTATTAATTATAAATTTATATTAATGTAAGTATTAACTATGCATTTTGAATTATTTTTGTTTAACACATATTGAGAGAAATATTTCTTTTAGACTTAAATATTTATAAAACTTTAAAAAAATATATATATTATTTCTAACGCAGATCATACAGGGTTGTCAAAACGAAACTTTATAAACTCAACTCCGAAGACTGTGTAAAGCCAGGGCTAAAGAGAATAGAAGGGCTGGTTCACTCCTTTGAAGTATCTCTCGCCGCGCCGATCCTCCGACGTCACTCTAGTGACGTCACTTTGGCTCACTTTGGCAAAGCTCGCACTTTGACTTCAAGAACGGAGCGTTTGGCCTTACTAGCTCTAACTAATATTGGATCATTTCTTTTTGCGAGATATTCTAAGACATTTGTTATNTTGTCGGTCAGAACTGTATTCTTTATTTCAAAATGATTTAAAAAACACTATTTATAAGTAGATTTTAATGGTTTAAAGAAGTTTAGTTAATTGTGCAAAAATGGTTACAGAAGCTTATTTTAAAGTTAAAACACGCAAAACAAATTTTCTTTGAATATTCCCAAATTATTTTTCTAGTCAAAAGCAGGAAGTAAATTTTAAACAGTCACATTTCTCTCTGGTTTAATACATTCAAAATTCCATCAAAATTAGGTGTTTTCACTGAATTTAAGATAGAATTCTTGTTCATTTTTTTTTTGCATTTCCTTCATTGTTTGTCTTTTTTTAAATGTTGTAGGAAAAAAATTAATTAATTTGCCTGAATATAAATGAACACAATTACAAGGGGGAATAATTGACTTTCAATTTTTTTCTGATGTAATTCAGAATATTCGAGACAATTAACTCGAAATAAGAAAAAACACATATCTCGTATTAAAGTCATTATCAATTTACCGCCGATATAAACTTTAACGTTTGTTTCGTTCTCTCTACTTTTATTAATAAAAAAAATATATATTGGACATCCATTTAATAAAAATGAATGTTTCTTTTTATCTTTTAGGTTAAGAGCGATCGTAGCTTCAGCTCTAAGAGCGGAGTGAACTAGCCCTTCTATTCTCTTTAGCCCTGGTGTAAAGCTATGAACTTTTTTTCATCCATGCTCTAGTTTACTTTCGTTATCTTTCAAAAAGTTTCACTTCAGTTTCATACCTAAAAACTGTAAATGTCAATCGGTAAGGCTGTAGTTTTGCCACTTTTAAGCTAAACTAAATGTCATCGCATTTAAATATTTACTAGGGATACAAACTATAAATATTAATCGCTTTTGCCACTTTTAAGCTAAACTTAATATCATCGCATATAAATATTTACTAGGGATACAAACTATAAATGTCAATCGCTAAGGCAGTAGTTTTGCCACTTTTAAGCTAAACTTAATATCATCGCATATAAATATTTACTAGGGATACAAACTATTAATGTTAATAGCTAAGGCTACAGTTTTGCCACTTTTAAGCTGAACTTAATATCATCGCATTTAAATATTTACTAGGGATACAAACTATAAATGCTAATCGCTAAGGCTGTAGTTTTGCCACTTTTAAGCTAAACTTAATATCATCGCATATAAATATTTACTAGGAATACAAACTATTAATGTTAATCGCTAAGGCTAGTTTTGCCACTTTTAAGCTAAACTTAATATCATCGCATTTAAATATTTACTAGGGATACAAACTATAAATGTTAATCGCTAAGGCTGCAGTTTTGCCACTTTTAAGCTGAACTTAATATCATCGCATATAAATATTTACTAGGAATACAAGCTATTAATGTTAATCGCTAGGGCTAGTTTTGCAACTTTTAAGCTTAACTTAAGATCATCGCATTTAAATATTTACTAGGGATACAAACTATAAATGTCAATCGCTAAGGCTGTAGTTTTGCCACTTTTAAGCTAAACTTAATATCATCGCATTTAAATATTTACTTGGGATACAAACTTTAAATGTTAATCGCTAAGGCTGTAGTTTTGCCACTTTTAAGCTAAACTTAATATCATCGCATATAAATATTTACTAGGAATACAAACTATTAATGTTAATCGCTAAGGCTAGTTTTGCCACTTTTAAGCTAAACTTAATATCATCGCATTTAAATATTTACTAGGGATACAAACTATAAATGTTAATCGCTAAGGCTGCAGTTTTGCCACTTTTAAGCTGAACTTAATATCATCGCATATAAATATTTACTAGGAATACAAGCTATTAATGTTAATCGCTAGGGCTAGTTTTGCCACTTTTAAGCTTAACTTAAGATTATCGCATTTAAATATTTACTAGGGATACAAACTATAAATGTCAATCGCTAAGGCTGTAGTTTTGCCACTTTCAAGCTAAACTTAATATCATCGCATTTAAATATTTACTTGTGATACAAACTTTAAATGTTAATCGCTAAGGCTGTAGTTTCGCCACTTTTAAGCTAAACTTAATATCATCGCAGATAAATATTTACTAAGGATACAAACAATATTGATTTGGGCAAATATTCGACAGTCTTAAAATGCAGTACGCATTATACAACACTATTCTTAGTTAATTGTATCATTATACGGAGAAAAAAACATTTTGGTAAAACTACCGTACTGTACTACCATACCGTACTGTAAAAAAAAAAAAAAAAACATTATTCTGGTTAATAAAACCAAAATAGGGTATTTAAACAATTGATTTGGTAGTTTTTCTGTTCACATGGCAACAATTTATCAGAAACTCTGGTTTTCAAAATTATAATTCTTATTACCACACTTTTATTAAAAAATACAAAACTGAAAACTTAATTTAACTGAATAAATGGTTTTATGCCGTGTTCAAAGGTATCATGGTAAAATTACCAACTTTTACCATGTTTATCAAATTTTATCACATAATATAAAACCATATTTTTTTGTTAATTTTACCAAAATCATTGCCAAAGCGCCTCGGTAAAAATTATCGAGCTTTTTCCTGGTCCCATAGATTCAGAAACACGGTAAATTTTACCATATTTTGGTAACTTTGATCATACTTTTTTTCCCAGTGTGCAATTGAAATACATTCACTCCAGATAAAAATTATTTTGCGAGCAAACTTATTTTTTTTAAAAACGATGGTTTATATTTCGTAACTATTAATGCGAAAAACTGGTAAAATTCAGCAATTCACTTGGTTTTTTTGCTGAGTTAGTAGCTATGCTTATGTGACTGACAAATTTGAGAAAAAGTAACAATGTTATTTTCTGGTTGTACATAAATTAATATAAATTAGATACACTTTCAAATTTATTGATATTTTTTGTTTAAATATATTTTCCCGTTAATGTCAAACTATAAAACTGAATCACTTCTAAAATATGTGCCTCAATAATGTCGAATGAAAATGTTCTTAATATAATTTTCTGTATTCCTTTATTCTCCAAGCCTAATTTCCTCTTTCAATATCTAGACTATAGTTAACAAGCCTCTTCGTGTGTGGTCCATTTTAACTTCAGTAATTACAGCTATATGTGCACTTCTAATCGACAAAGAATCATCAAAACTTTCGTCATTTTGCAAAATTAGGGTTATATTTGAGATGACAAAGATAAAAAAAGTCCTTGGAAGACCGATAATTTACGTCTTGATATAACCTTTCTTACATTTCTATTGCTTTCCACGAGTCAAGTTTAATAAAAAAAATATATAAATATAATCATTGCTTGAATTAAATTCATGTTCCTAAGTATACCTTTAATGATTCCATATATTAGAAACATTTTACAAAGCATTAAAGACATATGACAGTAATTATATATTTCGAACGATAAAACAAGCTGTCGTCGATTTATCATTCGTTGAGTACAAATAGTATTGTTATAGATAATTTTTTTTTTCTATTATGATAAATATCCTTTATTTTCTCGCTAATACTTAATATTCATATTTATCAGAAAATACGAAACTTGAAGTAGTTAGGTAGTATTTGGACATCGAAGTAATTTTATCAAAAATTTTATATTATGTATAGAATCGGTTTTTATATTTTTTTTGTTCATTTGAATTTTTTTAAGCAATTAGTATAGATATTTGAACTCGAAACGAGGTTTAAATTGGAAACAATTGTTCAGAAAAAATGCTTTTATAGGCATTCAAACCACGCTGAGTAGCTAGGATTATTTTTAATAATTGCGTCTAGAAAGAAATATATTTGAAAAGAAAAAAAAAGAATAACCGTATTTGTCATATTACTGCATTGTTACAATGAAGAATAAGTTATTAATATTATTATTTCAGTTGTTCCGTTATTCTATCGCACCATAATAAACGGAGAAAAAAAAGTTCGGGCAAAAATACCGAAATGTATGGTAATGACATTTCTGGTAAAAAAAAACTATAGTTCTGGTAAATAAAACCAAACTATACGGTATTATTATTCATATGGTAACGGTTTTACCAAATTCTGATTTTCAAGATTATAGTTATTATTACCACTCATTTAGTAAGAAATACAAAACAAAAAAGTAAATTTAACCGAATAAATGGTTTTTATGCCGTGTTCTAAAGTGTCATGATAAAATTACCAAATTTTACAACATTTAACAAATTTTATCGCATATTATAAAACCATATTTTATTGTTAATTTTATCATAATCATTGACAAAGCGCTTTGGTGAAATTACCGAGTGTTTTGCGTCCCATAAAGTCGGAAACACAGTAAATTTTACCATATTCTGGGTGTTTTGACCATATTTTTTCCCCAGTGTACCTCACATAGGATCGTTGAAAAAAGCATTATAGTCTATTTATGAACATTAATTTTATACAAAAGTGCAAGTAGTTTACGAAAAAAAGAACGTTTGAACATTATTTTTACCTTAAAGAGGAAGATTAGGAAACACATATTCCCTCCTGATATATTCATTTTAACATGGACGTTATTACATAGAAGTGAATTACATAGAATAACATGATTTTTAAACTCAAAATTTAGCACTCTTTCAGAATGTCACAT